CCTTTTTTTTTTTTTTTTTTTTTTTTTTTTGCTCAGCAGACGAAATCTCTTACCCAGCAAATTCAGCCGCTTTTTGCAATTTCCATTGTTACTACGGTTTCGAAAAAAGACTGGCATCTCTCGCAAAGTGCTTTAGCAGTTAGTTTTGGAACTTTTTTTTAAACCTTCCTGTTCCAATGCGCTTTCCCTGCATTTGCTGGTCGCTTATTTGGCAACACTGAAAGTCGATTAAAAAGTCAAGAAATTATTTTGTTTTTTTTTTGTTCACCCCTCACTCTAAGATAGAAATTTAACGATAAAATTTTCATTTGTATTAAATAACTTGATATGTTTAACTTTGTAGAAGAATGCTGCGTTGTGTGACGAAGTGTCGCGCTTGCGCCAACGTATTCAAACAGTGACCGAAGAAAGAAAGTAATTTCGTTTCTTTCTTTTCCTGCAGTTTCTTAGTTTTGTGAAACACAAATTTGGATTTTAAATTGAAACAGATGGATTTGTGAAATCATAGGCTGTACTTCCTGAAGTCACCTCATTTACAGATTGAAATTTTTGCAGAGTTTTGGCCAAACGTTTGCAGCATCATGAACGTAACAGAATTCGTCGAATCCAAACAAAGTTAAAAAAGGTAGGGCTTTTTATAATAAACTTACAATAAAAATAACATTATGCACACCAGGCTCTGAGAATTCGCTGCCACTGTTCGTTTTTTTTTTTGCATCAGTGCAACAAAAAACCATTGTATTGAGGTCACTTCTGTGTTTGCATGGCAATGTTTGGCCACTCTGTTTCGACAATTCATCTCCGAAACTGCGGAACGAAGAAGCAGGAATTTGAATAATTGGTTCCAAGTCATTTGCGTTTATAGAGAATGAAGTCAGTTTTTCACTCTGCTCTGCGCCCGGATTTAGCGGGAGCGTAAAAAATTTGGCCCTACGTCTTTGGCAGGCGCTGGAACAGTGCGCGGGCATGCTAGTTTGTAGAGTCAAATTTTTATTTTCAGCTATGCTCAATGTTATTTAAATTTTTATGTGACGAATAAGTCTGGGGAAAGTCATGACGCAGTAAAATCAATCTCCATATATTGTACTGCATAACTCAGTATAAGCCCGCGCAACAGTCCCACTGCATCGGTCTCATACTGCGATTTACTTATATCTTTTGTCTTGCCCATTCGGCGATGTGGCTAGTGGTTTGGATGCAGCGTTACCAACATGTCATGCGCTTTTGTGCCACATGAATTGCCCTACAGTCTTTTCCGTTACATCATAGCCTTCACCTTATTAAACTAACCCCACCCTACGTTTAAATT